CCCCAAACCCTAAACCCTAACCCCTAAACCTGCCCAAGAATCACAAAAAGAACCCTCTGACCTAAAACAACCCTAAACCCTAAACCCTAAAAACCCTCACCCTAAACCCTCAAACCCTCCCACGGTCGAGAGGCAGAGCTTGGAGTGACCCCCGGGACTGCCCAAGCCATGGCGGCCCAAAGCGCAAACTTTCTTGTCCCCGAAACCCCACTAGGGGAACCTATGGTTTACCTTTGGTTGAGATTACATCTAGGGGTTTTAGTACCCCCAACATGGTAAAAGCTTGGTTATGCTGCTGCTAAAGGCCGAAAAGGGCTTCTAATTTGTAGGTAGCTATGTTGAACGGTTTTGTGATGGTTCAGCTAGGGCTAGTCGTGGTCTTCCATGGCTAACATGGGTTTAGGGGTGGACGCGTTTTTTCTTCAGGTGGTTCAGTCGTGTGTGTCGCGCTTCATGAGGGGCGCAATGTTTCGCAGATGCAGGTTAATTAAGGCTAAGGTTTAAAGTTTAGGAGCTTTATCAGGTTTAACCGGCTTCCAGTTTTTGCAGATTCTACGAGTAAGGGTTCTCTCAAGCCGCACATTCATGTCGTTCCATTGCCGTGATGGTGGGATCGTGGCTGCAGCCGACCACGTCTTTAGAACTTCTTGGGTTTGGGGCTTTGGATGTCGGGGTTTGGGGGTTTTGGGTTTTGGGGTTGTTTGGGGTTCGTGGGCCAGTGACGGTGAGATTGGACAAGACAGGACCCCGTCAAAGCAATAGGCTACAAACATTTTGGGGATTACCTTTTCGGACCCTCGGGATGTAGATCGTTTCCACTGCTTTCAGCAATGACAGCGTTCCTGCACTGATGTCAGAAGCAATTACGGGGGAATCTCAAAGATTTGCTGACACGGAAAACCCTGCATTGCATGTAGATACTGCAAGCACCCTTTGGGTTAGTGCCTCAAACCTTAAGGACGAAAAGACCCTTTAAAAGTAGGGGGCCCTATACCCTTATACTATGAACTCCTATATAGTATATGAACCTTAAGCCCTTTTAGGGTTCATTCCGTCCTTAAGCCTAAACCCTAAACCCTAAACCCTCAACCCCCTAAACCCTAAAACCCTAAACCCAGTGCCCCACATGAACCCTCATTGAAGAAGCCGTCAGAGCCATCTGTTAGAGACTTCCGCCCCAAGCTGAGCTTAGGAAAACCCCCCAAACCCTAAACCCTAAGCCCTAAGCCCTAAAGCCTAAACCCCTAAAGCCCTACACCCTAAGCCCTAAACCCCTAAACCCTAAACCCTAAACCCTCCTAAAGCTCTAAACGCTGAGCTTCGGGTAGAGATCTTGGATCCAAGAACAAAAAACAGCCTTGGCGGAGGTGGTTTGGGGCTTAGGGTTTAGGGTATTAGGGTTTTAGGGGCTCCTTTATAAAGGGATCTATAAGGCTACGAGGGGTTCTATCAGGGGATCTAGAAGGGGGTACGGAGCTTCAGGGTTTAGGGCTTTAGGGCTTTGGGGCTTTAAGGCTGTAGGGCTATAGCGCTTTAAGGCTCTAGGGCTTTAGGGCTTTAGGGCTGTAGGGTTTGAGGGTTTGAGGGCTTTAGAGCTTAGGGTTCACCTTAACGAATCAGTAAGGGTACAAGTAAAATTTTGAAATGGTGCTGCTCCAGCGTTTACCCTGCCAACCTAAAGCCCCAGGTATCCTGTGCCGCAACCTCTGAAGGTTTTAGGGCTTAGGGTTTATTTACAGGGTTTGAGGGTTTTAAGGCTTTTTTGGGGGGTTTAGGGGTTTAGGGTTTAGGGCTTTAGGGATTATTTAGGGTTTAGGGCTTAGGAAAACATCCCACAAACCACCCAGAAAACTCTACACCCCAAGCCTAAGCCCTCAACCCCCCTGCCGTGCCCGTTAAAGAGGAAGCGCTAAAACGGTTTAGGGTTTAGGGCTTAGCCTCAACTAGTCCCAGACAGCTCGAAAATCACAGATCAAACCCTGAGCGGAACCCTAAAATCTACACTCTAAACCCTAGGCCCTAAGCCGTCAAACCCCTACACGCCTAAACGCTATGAGCCCTAAATCCTAAACCCTTAAACCCTCTTATGAACCCCACCAATAATAAACCCTACAGCCCATAAAGCCCCTAAACCCTAAACTCTATAAGCCCTAAATTCAGGTATCTAGAGTTAGAACTGCAAAATGATCCCAATTAGGCTCCTTATAACCTTTAGGTTATAATTACTCATGATCCCAAGTAAGGGTGCTTATAACCTTACTTACTAAATACCCTAAACCCTAAACCCTAAACCCTCCACCCTAAACGCTAAACCCTCAACCCTAAACCCACCGTAAACCCTTAAACTTTAAACGCTCAACCCTAAACCCTAAACCCTCAACCTTCAACTCTAAACCCTAAACCCTGAACCCTCAACCCTAAACCCTAAACCCTCAACCTTCAACTCTAAACCCTAAACCCTAAACCCGAAACCCTAAACCCTCAACCTTCAACTCTAAACCCTAAACCCTAAAACCGTGCCTCCAAGTAGTCCTCTGGGGTGCCAGGTCCCCCCGGTACTCCTTTCGTCTGGGCGGCTCAGGCCGCTACATGCTTTAGGGCTTCCGGCTTAGCTTTTTTTAAAAAAAAAGTGCAATGGCCCCTTTGTCTTCTTCCGGCTTAGTTTAGGGTTTAGGGTTTAAGGCTTAGGGTTTTGTTAGTTTAGGGTTGAGGGTTTAGGGTTTTTTAAGGCTTAGGGTTTAGGGCTTAGTTAGTTTAGGGTTTAGGGCTTAGGGCTTAGGGCTTAATGTTTCGGGTGAAGGGAGGATCTCCAGCCCAAGGTCCACGCAATCAAATAGTAGGGTTTCAGGTACCAGCAAAAAAAAACTTCGGGCCAGCCACCCTGCTAGTTGGGTACTTGGACCCTCTGGGTAGGGCTTGGGCGGGTTTACTTGGAGGTTTCATGGGTAGTTATAAGTGGGGTTATGAGTAGGGCAACTATAACTATACCCATGAACTTCCAAGTAGGGTTTAGGGTTAAGGGTGGGGTTAAGGGCTTCAGGACTTCGGTTGTTTGGACTGAAAATTCAGGCTGTCGGTTTCGGCGTGCTGGGCTCATGGTTCAGGGTTCAGCGTTGGATCCCGGATTATGTAGCTGGACTAGGACTGTGACTGCCGATCGAAGTCTCTCAGATATGATAGAAAAGCATAATTGATATTAATATTGGTATCAATATCAATGTTAATACTCATATCAATAGTATTCACGGTATTAACGAGAGCTTGCAGGGGCAGTGAGGCACTGAAGACTAGCAAGTTGCACCTTTTCGGAAGTTATTGCAGCTCCTTGGGTCTTACTGGGCTTGACAGGACTTGACATGAGAACAGTGGGGTTTCAAGATTGCAGTAGAATTACATAAGCTGAATGTAAGAGGATACGAATACTCAGCATTCAAGCCTTTATACAGACCCTAAACCCTAAACCCTCAATCCTAAATCCTAAACCAGCCCGCAACCTCTCAACAAAGCTTGAACCCCTTAACAGCGGGGGAATCCTCAACCCAAAGCCGAAAGTGAAACGAGAGTGTCTCCAACCTCTAAGATTTTACATGCTTGCTAAACCAGCGGTCCTGTGACTATATAAGTTGTTCAGAACAGCCGGGTTATGATAAGGCTTTGTGCTGAGAATCTGGCGCTCGAAGCACCAACAATGACCAAAGCGCAGTAATTTCGTAACCACCCTCATCCAGACTCACACGGCCAGAACTGCGTTCTTTTCTTGAAACCATGCCTATTGTTTTTGCAAGAGTTGCTTTGCAGTTTTGCAGAAGCAACAATTCTCAAACGGGAGCTGTTCCATCACAAAGCATGGGACTTACCGTTGACGAGAGGTTTCCCGTTGGGTTCGGGCTAGGCCTCGGAACGTAGCCGTGCTGATCTCTCTTATTGCTTTGTACTACCTTTTGTTGGGCCACGTTATTTTCGTACATGGTCGGAGCCACAAACTGGTGATCCAAGAGAAGCTGCTGCAATTCAGGGTCTGTCACCAACGTAACCCTTTTTTTACATGTGTAGTGCCCTATTTCCCTTCCAGGCTAGTGTACAGAACTCCTATTGACTTTCCCTGGGGTTGATCCCAACCGTGCCCGCCTTCGGTTTGCCGTGGCAATCCCTGCAGCTAGCCCTTCATGCATCGTGCACATGAACTTCTTTCTATACAGATAAGTTGTTGTAGGATACGTAGATGGCACAAACATGCATACACATATAGATGGGTAGATGCATAGATGGATGGATAGATAGATAGATAGACAGATAGATAGATAGATAGATAAGTAGACGGACAGACACATGCAGCATCAGATAGATAGACAGATAGATAAAAAGATAGGTAGATAGATAGGTAGATAGGTAGATGGCAGAGAGAGAGATATATGGATAGATGGAAAGATGGATAGATAGATAGGTAGATAGGTAGATAGATAAAAAGATAGGTAGGTAGATAGATAGATAGACAAGTAGATAGATACATAGGTAGACCGATAGACCGACAGATAGACAGATACATCGGTATGTCGTTAGCTCGATATATAGATAACCCAAATTACACAGGCAGGTAGATATCTAGACAGATTCCCAGATAGATGAACGGGTAGGTAGATAGAGAGATAGATGAACAGTCAGGCAGACAGACGTATAGACAGGTACAAAGCTACATAGATACTCGGCGCATAGATACATACGTACATACGTACGTAGATACGTTTGTTGGATGCATAGATACATCGATACACAGTTACATCGATACGTCGCCACATACATGCATGCATACATACATACATACATACATACATGCATATGTACATGGCCCCACCTCACATACACTTTCAGGCGAGCACATGCTCTGCAGAGACCGTGGTAGCTAAGCCAGCGGACACTGCCTCTTGATCGAACAGCTCCTACATGTAACACATGTCGTAACACACGTGTCCTAGAGCGACTTCGGCGCATGAGAAAACTTTTTAGTATGCGTGAACATCGGCGCACTTGTTGGGGAAATTCCACACGGCATCCTTGCAAATGAACCTCAGCTGTGCGGTGTGCTTTGCTGCTGAAAAGAAGACAGCACACCTACACCCGAAACCGTAACCCTAAACCCCATAGGCTCTACTATAAACCCTACAAGCTCGAAAGCCTCGGTTTTCTTTTCCGAAGTTCTCAGGCCTTCACCCAGTTGGGCTGTTCTCAACATGTCGCAAGATGTTCCTCTAGGCCTACTATACAGAGTTCTGTAACCTTAAGGACGAAATGAACCCCAAAAGGGTTTAAGGGCCATATGCCATATAGGAATCCATAGTTTAAGGGTAGAGGGCCCTACTTTTAAGGGTCATTTCGTCTCAAGGAAGAAGGCTACAACCCTTCGCGCGCATGAACAGTAGAATCGAAGGCATCCCACAACCCCAAGACTTTGTAAGCCCATAGCCATAGGGCACGGTTTAGGGTTTAGGGGTTGTCTAAATTCGGGTCCCTTCTAGGGTCCTTTTGATAAGGGTGCCGGGGACCTAAAATGGGACCCTCATTTAGAGAAGCACGCATAGGATGTTGGGGCAGGCACGAGTGGAGAGGTCTTAGGAAAACGGCTTCCGGGTGACAGCCGTATTGGATTGTACCCAAAAGCGCCACACGTGCTGAACGCAAGTGATTCATGAAAGACATGCCGCACCACCGGTGTTGGGTTTAGGCCTCGAGCCCCAACAAAAGCCCCACAAAAGAAAAGACCCACAAATACCTAAAGAGCTAAAACTCCAAAACCCTAGGCCCTAAACCCAAAGCCCCAAGCCCTAAACCCTAAACCCACACACTTCTAAACTCGAAGCCCGAAACCGGCAAGCCCAACCCCCAAAAAACACCCGGATTCCTACCCACCCCCCTTGAACCTGAAAAAAGCCTGCTCTAGGTGTTCCCTTCAAAGAAGCCCTACCAGCCCCTAGGGTTTAGGGTTTAAGTTCCTAGGGTGCCCTACAGAGGTCTTCTAGGGTTGAGGGTTTAGGGCCCAAGTGTTCCCTTTAAAGGAGCCCGGGTTTGGGGTTTCGGGTTTAGGGCCTAGGTTTCCTTTTGGGGGGCTTAGGGCTTACGGTTTACGGTTTACAGTTTAAGGTTTAGGGCTTAGGGCCTAGGTGTCCCTTTAACCCCCGGGAGTTCTTCAGGACGAAATGACCCTTAAAAGTAGCCCTCTACCCGTATACCTATGAATTCCGATATGGCATAGGACCCTTAAAACCTTTTTAGGGTTCATTTCGTCCCTGAGGAACGGGGGGTTTGAAGTTTTCAGGGCTCCTCTAAAGGGAAACCTAGGCTAACCCCCCGTTCTTGAGGCCACAGGAACGCCGCGACCAGCTTAGCGAGGCTGTGAAGCCTCAGGTGGCGGGCTCCAACAAAAGGGTTTAGGGCTTGGGGCTTGGGGGTTTGGGGGTTTAGGGTTTAGGGCTTGGGATTTGGGGGTTTAGGGGTTTGGGGGTTTAGGGCTTGGGGTTTGGGGCTTGGGGTTTGGGGTTTAGGGTTTAGGGTTTAGGGCTTTAGGGTTTAGGGCTTTAGGCTTAGGGTTTCAGGCTTATAGGGTTTGGGGCTTACAGGGTTTGGGGCTTAGGATTTGGGGCTTAGGGTTTGGGGCTTAGGGAATAGGGTTTAGGGTGGGCTTTATGGAGGTTGTATAAGAGGTTGCATTGTGGGGTTTAGGATTTAAGGCTGCGGCATCCGGGTTGGATTCAGCATTCAAGGGTCTTCTCAGATTTATGGCTTTGTTGCCGATTAGGGTTTGGGGTTTAGGGTT